AGATTACAGTCTAGATTAGATCCTTTGTTGCAGAGTTCATCAACTGTGTAAAACATAAAGATTACAGTCTAGATTAGATCCTTTGTTGCAGAGTTCATCAACTGTGTAAAACATAAAGATTACAGTCTAGATTAGATCCTTTGTTGCAGAGTTCATCAACTGTGTAAAACATAAAGATTATGATCGATACACTCTAACTAAAGGATCTAATCTGTAATCATTATGTTTTACACAGTTGATGAACTCTGCAACAAAGGATCTAATCTAGGCTGTAATCTTTATGTTTTACACAGTTGATGGAACTCTGACATAAAAGATCTAATCTAGGTTGTAATCATTATGTTTTACACAGTTGATGAACTCTAACAAAGGATCTAATCTAGACTGTAATCTTTATGTTTTACACAGTTGATGAACTCTGACATAAAGGATCTAATCTAGACTGTAATCTTTATGTTTTACACAATTGATGAACTCTGCAACAAAGGATCTAATCTAGACTGTAATCTTTATGTTTTACACAGTTGATGAACTCTGCAACAGAGGATCTAATCTAGGCTATAATCTGCATGCCGGTTATGAAAGAGGGTCTTCTAACATGAAACTGACAAATCTTCTAGAACAATTACTCAAAAACAAAGATCTAAAAACTCACAATCACTTCTCAAAATCATTTATTTTCATGAGAAAGACCTCCAAAACAATTGTTATCACAGCAGTCCTGTTCAACTACAAAGCTTATAGCTACCCTCATTACTAACCTTTAATCTTCTTAATTGCAGTTTTGTTAACTGATATCCATGTCCGGTAGAAGGTCTGTAGAAAATCTGACACGTCTTTCGAGATTGTTCTCACTGTCTTTTTCCAGGAGCTTCAAACAGTATCAAGCTCTACCACATAATCATGTCCATCGAGTGAGCAGAAGTTATGACGAAGGAATTAGGTATGAGGCACTTGAATATGATTATTATACAGTACTATTAACTGTGATTCTTGTACAGTACTATTAACTATGATTCTTGTACAGTACTATTAACTGTGATTCTTGTACAGTACTATTAACTTGATTCTTGTACAGTATTATTAACTTGATTCTTGTACAGTACTATTAACTGTGATTCTTGTACAGTACTATTAACTGTGATTCTTGTACAGTACTATTAACTGTGATTCTTGTACAGTACTATTAACTATGATTCTTGTACAGTACCATTAACTGTGATTATTGTACAGTACTATTAACTGTGATTCTTGTACAGTACTATTAACTGTGATTCTTGTACAGTACTATTAATTATGATTCTTGTACAGTACTATTAACTGTGATTCTTGTACAGTACTATTAACTGTGATTCTTGTACAGTACTATTAACTATGATTCTTGTACAGTACTATTAACTATGATTCTTGAACAGTACTACTAACTATGATTCTTGTCCAGTACTATTAACTTCATAATGCCATCTTATTCTCTGCACAGATTTAATGTTAATTTAGATTATCAACACTAATAATGTCATCGAAGCTAGTTTATACACATAAATCAGTCCAAATTTCAAAAACCCAAGAAATACATTAGGCACCTCAGATATAAATCTTTATTAAGATCTTAAGCTTAGTGAACTTCCTAGAAAGACATATATACTTTTTACTGTAACATTAATATGTTACCTGTTGTTTGTACTAATGTTGCCAAGGAACACACTAACTTCAAAAAACTGTACGTTTACTAATAAATCACAGAACCACTAGCTAAAACCTAGAGTTAAAAAATTGGAATCAAAGTCTAACCATAGCTGGAAATAATGTAAAAAAAAACTTTAAATTTGGTTTAACTTAAAGTGTTGTGTGTGTGTGTATATATCTATATGTATCTTGTTATGATGTGAATGCCTTTTCTATGTTGACGAAGCAAGATTATAACGAATTATACTTGCCATAAGACATTAGTATTAGATCTTTTATATTTTTAAACATTTATTTCTTTATCTAGTCCCTTAGGATGTTTCAAGAAGAAGAAAAAGGGTATTAAGTAGTACTTCAACCACATTATGTCTGTCGTATTCATAGCTCAATGCAGAGCTCATCAAGCTGACCATGACACAAACAGACAAAGTGTGGTTGGAATACTATTATACATTCTTCTTTTTGAAAACCTCTTAGGGAATGAATAAAGAATGTAGTGTCAAAAAATATAACAAGCCTAATACTAATAATCTGTGTCAAGAATAATTAAATACGTATCTTAAATATAATTACAGGTGGCAGAAAATTGTTAAATGGTTTTGGTGAAATCGGTAGTCGACGGTTGACAAGTGACAGTACACAAACAAGTTGTTGTTGCTTCTTTTTTACAAGTTTAGTTTATTAAAATACACAAAGACATAAACATAACAATGTCAACATTACTTAGTTTACTCTAAGTTCATTTATCAATATTACAATAAAACACTTGTTTTGGATAACTTATGAAATATTTAGCAACAAAACAAAACCGATATTTTGCCAACAAAACATTTAATATTATTTTTTTTTTTATTTGAAGCACAATAAGCAATTCCAAATAGAAAGATTATCAAATGATCACTTGATGATTAACAAAGGATGATCATTACATAAAACAGCCTGTAAACTTTATAGTTGGACTTATCGTAGATATAACAATAAGTACATTGCCTCAATACAGCACTGATAGAATATTTTCATGAAAATTTAGGAATGAAACCGTAGATGTAGAAAATCACTCCATCAGAATTCTCAGGTCGGTTGAATAACAAACATTTTCTACATTACAAACATACGAATGGGTCTACTCAATATCTATTGACGGCAGTGCCCTACAAGAACCAGTATTAAGCTGGACACTTCGGTACTAAATTAAAGTAACTATACACTAAATCAGGTTGAGGATAAAGAAAAATATAGTTACATACTCTATATATCAACCAGTTTTTACGAATAATTAAAAATGAAGATGGCATTAAACATCACGTAGGATCCTTTGCTATATAATTAATCAAAGAAACCATTAAATAAATCGAGCCATTAAACAAGCATACACACGTGTGTGTACACCAAGAAAAACAATGCCTGGAGCAATTAACAAGTCTTTAATGTTAGGCATGAAACATCCATATTTTTTTTACTATAACAGTATCTTATAACACTGAAAATTAAAGTTTCTTCCCGTGATCTTATGACATTCGCTGATAAAAGTTACTTAGTTGTTGTTCTAAAGTAATGTTTTAAAATTTTGGAAAAGAAAATTATATTTTTATTCTTATATGTCAATATGAATATATATATATATATATTCATTTTTCAAACCTTTTTTTTTTCTTTCTAAGTACACAAATTATAAAATTAGTAAAAGTTGTTCATTATTCTTAACTTGAGCAAATATTTAGCGGATTTACTTTTAAAGTGTTATACTTCAATATTGGGTCACCAAGCTAAGCCTAATACTTTTTAGATAACAAATAGGATTAATTCTGCTCGACATCACCCATGATTGGAATTTAGGGAGTACATCATAAACAAGCAGGATTGGAGAGAAAACATTGTTATAAAGATGTATTATTTTAATGTTATACCATATGACGCACTGCGTGCAGCATTTATTCATTACAGTGTCGAAGATTACTCTTGTTTGTATGTCATGGCTTACAAACTAGAGTAAATAAATCAAAAACATGTTTTCTCCAAAGTTCTAAACTGAAAACAAAGTAGCTATTGATAAGATCTTTGACTTTTAATATTTCAATTACCTACATCGTAGACTAATATGTAGTGGTATGAATAAGTTTGATTTAATTTTTCATCTGAATATCAATAAATTCAATTGACTAGTTGAAAAATTAACTAACAATCTGATGAAAATGCAACAAATTTTCTGTTTACTCTGTTAATAGAGCTTCTGTATTATCTGTACTACTGAAGTACAGCCCCCTGGTGGGACAGCAAAAAGCCTACACTCAAATCAGGAGGGGTTGATTCCCCTCAGTGGACACAGCAGATGACTCGATACACACACACACACACACTGAAGTACACATGTAAACACCTGTTCTAGAAACCAGTGACCATTTATAACAGCTTCATACTTATACAACTTTACCATAAAAGGCTTAAGAAACTTTCTTTAAAAACTCAAACATTTATTGGAATAGTCCTATATATTATATTATTTAACAAAGTAGAACTGTTCTTTATACATTGTTGCAGCCTTGCTCAATTGTTTCACCTAAAAAATATCGTATCAGCATAATATTTCCAATTTCACAAAGAAAATAATTAAATTGAACAATATCTCTGCACTTATATATTATTAAATCAACACGAGTTTTTGTTCACTATTCTGTGTAAATAAACTTAATTTGCATCTTCTTTGAAGTGTCAACTATTAAATTAGAACTAACCTTAGTTATTTACCTTAATGTCTTCGAATTTAACTCGATGGTAAGGATATAACATAATTAGGCCCTATTAAATACTGATTTAAAAATTATTAGGGTTTACGTTGCTTTCTGAATATCATAAGGATATTCAGTCTGGATATTCAATTTTAAATCAATCATGTTGTATCAAATTTTTGCTACAAATACAAGTGTTCTGTTTTATATTTTGGGTAAATGCCTAGCACCACAAGTGCTAATCTGTATGTCACATTTTTCTTTAGTTCTTTTGAAACAGTAAAACACATTTTTTATATACTTTTATGACAATACCAATAATTGCTATTGCATCACTTGTAACTACATCAGTATACAATTTTTTGTTTCTTTATCTTATGATCAAAAGCAGCTCAACTCAAGCCTGTCACAAAATGAATCATGGAAGTTCTAATTCGAATCAATTCTATCAAAGTGAACCTAACACTTACTAAAGGTAGTAGTTTGTAGGTCATTCAAATGATTAGCCTCACATTAGGTAGTCATTTATTGGTCATTATGGTAAACTTAATATTTTCTAGATAGTAATATGCAGATAAGCCTAACATATGTTAAGTGCTAGCTTGCAAGTCATCATTGTAAGTCTAATATTTGTTAAGTACTAGTTTATAAGTTACCCAGGCAAGCCTAACATTTGTTAAGTACTAGTTTACAAGTTACCCAGGTAAGCCTAACATTTGTTAATTGCTAGCTTGCAAGTCATCATAGTAAGTGTAACATTTGTTAAGTACTAGTTTGTAAGTTACCCAGGTAAGCCTAACATTTGTTAATCGCTAGCTTGCAAGTCATTATAGTAAGCCCAACATTTGTTATGTACTAGTTTGTAAGTTACCCAGGTAAGCCTAACATTTGTTAATTGCTAGCTTGCAAGTCATCATAGTAAGCCCAACATTTGTTATGTGGGTAGTTTGTAGGTTACCCAGGTAAGCCTAACATTTGTTAATCGCTAGCTTAGCAAGTATCATAGTAAGCCCAACATTTGTTATGTACTAGTTTGTAAGTTACCCAGGTAAGCCTAACATTTGTCAATTGCTAGCTTGCAAGTCATCATAGTAAGTGTAACATTTTTTAATTGCTAGCTTGCAAGTCATCATAGTAATCCCAACATTTGTTATGTACTAGTTTGTAAGTTACCCAGGTAAGCCTAACATTTGTTAATTGCTAGCTTGCAAGTCGTCATAGTAAGCCCAACATTTGTTATGTACTAGTTTATAAGTTACCCAGGTAAGCCTAACATTTGTTAAGTACTAGTTTGTAAGTTACCCATGTAAGCCTAACATTTGTTATGTGGGTTGTTTGTAAATTGCCCAGGTAAGCCTAACATTTGTTATGTGGGTAGTTTATAAGTTACCCAGATAAGCCTAACATTTGTTATGTGGGTAGTTTATAAGTTACCCAGGTAAGCCTAACATTTGTTATGTGGGTAGTTTATAAGTTACCCAGATAAGCCTAACATTTGTTATGTGGGTAGTTTATAAGTTACCCAGGTAAGCCTAACATTTGTTATATGGGTAGTTTGTAAATTGCCCAGGTAAGCCCAACATTTGTTATGTGGGTAGTTTATAAGTTACCCAAGTAAGCCCAACATTTGTTATGTACTAGTTTATAAGTTACCCAGGTAAGCCTAACATTTGTTATGTGGTAGTTTGTAAGTTACCCAGGTAAGCCTAACATTTGTTAGTTGCTAGCTTGCAAGTCATCATAGTAAGCCCAACATTTGTTACGTACTAGTTTATACGTTACCCAGGTAAGCCTAATATTTGTTATGTAGGTAGTTTGTTGGTCACCACAGTAATCCTAAAACATTTAATATGTAGCTTGTAGGTCGGCAATGCAAGTCAAAGTTTCACTAGTTAATAGTTTATAGGTCACTGAGGTAAGCCTAACACTTGAAAGGTAGCAGTTTGTAACTCATCAAGGTAAGCTTAACATTTACTACGTAGTAATGGAGATTTCTCAGCAATTAGAAACCCTCAAGTTTCTTTTGCAAACATTTGTTAAATAAAATTAGAGCTTTCTCGACATTAGAAGCTGTGTATACTAATATAACCTTACAAATGACTAACATTCACTAGGAGGGTGTCGGGGAATCAGAATTCTTCATTACAATCAGCATACAATTTTAATATCCATGTATATTTATATCACTATGATAACAACAATCTATATATATTGAGATCTTAACACATAACAATAACAACCTAACTCAAACACTGAAATGAGTCTTAAGTTAAAGGTGGTACATTTCTATTACTGTGTTCAAGGTTTATATGAAAAGTAACTGCTAATATATATACATAAAATACAGAACTTTCTGCTAGATAAAACCCAAGTTAAAAACTTCTCGGTTATCAAGATCAAAATGTACAAAAAGAAAATGTTCATAGTTACTATATTAAAGGTAAAAAATAATTTTTCAACAATTTCAGACTCAATTGTTTTTTGTCGTTTAATCATCAAAACAAAATAATATTTAATTAATGTTATTAAATAAGCTGTTTAATATTAATCTCCTACAGTAAATATAACCCACAAGATTTGAAATAACTTAAAACATCATGTATCCACCAACTCTTGTTATAGACAGAGTTTCTACAGAGGTTAATGAGTGGTAGTCACGAACAAAAAAAATCGAAAATGGTATACGAAAAAAATTTTAAACGTGGTTAAATAATGTAATTATATTGGTTACCAAAGGAATAAACCATTAAAATACTTTTCATGCAAGTTAAAAATGCTCCAATTTTGTGATAAAAAAATCATAAAACTCCCAGAACTCTTCAAAGCTACTAGCACAAATATCACATTCTTACTGAAAGTATCATCACAATGTAAAAACAAAAATTACTGACAAAACATTGTATAGAATAATAATAAACAGATGAAAAAAACTGTACTTAAATTCCTAAGATAATCATGAATTATTACGAAATAAAACAAATATGTAACAAAGAGAGAAATATCTAAAAATACTTGTATTACTATCCAACCACATACTTTCACCAATAGTTGAGATGCTGTTTTCATCTTATTATGCAAAGACAACATTCTTGTAGGTCTCAGGAAGTTATTTTAACAGATGAATAAAATTAAATATTACAAAACAATCTGTTTCATATCTTTCCTAATCATTCAATGGATTAATTAATCATTAATTGGATGAAATATGAAGTCATTAGACTATACTGTCGTAGGTTTACCTCAGTTGCTTTTTACAACATATTTTACGATTGATTAAATATCTACTTGATAACAGACTCCTAACAGAGTAGCTTAGTACCTGAAAAATTGTTACACTGCTACACTGTCAGACATATACACACACAAAAAAATGTATTTATATAATTTAATGCAAATATAATTATAAGTCTACCAAGAGACGTTTAAGCATGTAATAAATGTCACCAATGGATTTCACTTTGCTTGAGGTATGTCAAGTCAAATGTCATGAATTCATACCCTGTAGTACATGAGAATGCCCAGGTATGTCAACAATGTAACAAGGTGAACCAAACACATTTTTTTTAAACTGTCAATAAATAAATAAAAGGGAATAATACAACTCAATACTGGACGGATGAGTCTACCGACAACTAGATCAAACCATATTTATGTACAAATTCCAAGAACACATGCAAATAATTTTCTTAACAACACAAAAATACTGACCAGGTTTATTATTTAAAACTACAACAGTAACAACGACAAAGTTTCAATGATCACCGCATAACAAAGTATGCACCATCAGCCAGTTTCTAAACTTGATACTCGATATCTCACTATGAACAATATTATGATACAAACACACCGATCTATCAATACAGGTTAACGTAGCTCCTCTAAAACAACAGATACTGGCACATAAGTGTATGCTGAGCTTTTTAAAAAGAATACATAAATCATTAATGTTTTATACAAGATACATTTGTCCTTAAGGGGCAAAACTCTTTAATTGAATGCGTTCTTGACTGGTTTCACAGGCGGCCTAACCCATGAAGCAGAAGGGAAACATGCCCTCCCAAGTTTGATTATAAATTCACAGTAAGTACATATTGAACATTGAAATACCTGCCCAATTTTGTGGGTTTACAATTATAAAAACAGCAACTTGACAGAGATCAAACTGTAAAAATTAAGCTTCTCGGAGCTTCTTATAAAAGAAAAAAAAAAAGATTTCATCTCTCAACATTCAGCAGTTACTTTTTTTTTCTTGCTCCCCTGCTTTCAAACAAAGTTAAGTGTCCATGATTGGCTTCAGACATTTTAAGAATATATATTTATATAAGAAAGTGTTACAGAAGTTTATCCCAGTTGAAATCATCCTCAATCTCATCATCCTCACAGAATGTTGACTGTTGACTGGGCATCAACGTTGAAGCAGGTGTTCCAACAGGGTGAAGAACTGGTACAGGGCTCATCTGATCAATTAGAGCAACATTATTTCCTCATTTTAATTTATTTTAAAGATTCACACTTCACCATACAGTAATTAGGCTACAGATGAAAACAGAAACCAAAAAAAAAAAGAAGCTTAAAATCAATCTCATACTTTTAAATGAATATTATCACATTCTGAGCGTGAATCCAAATGCTACGTAGACAATGCTATTCATTTTAACAACATAAAATGTCTCAAAACTATTATGGTTTGGTTTTAAGATTACACATGTAAGTGATATATTTTTATTTCAATAATTATTTTGATTCAAGGAACTTGAATCAGTATTTATTAAAAATAAATGAACATAATGAAAATTGTCATCTGGCTAGACCTTCGTAAAGAAAGTGACACTGTCGTAGCTTGTTTTTTTTGTTTCTTTGTTGTTAAAGTGCAAAGCTCCACAATGGACTGTCTGTGTTGCACCCACACAGGGATTGAGTCCTGAATTTTAGCATTATATGCTCTCAAGCTTACTGCTGTGTGACTGGGGGCTACTTTAGAGGAAATCTAATATAGCCACATCTCATGTTAACCCTACAAGTGCTTTTGTTCCCATCTAATATGTTCAGTGCATGTATATGTACAATACTGTACAAAAGTTGAGCCATCTGACGTTTTTGTGTAGTTCATGGGTTGCCTTTTTTCTATCCAAATGATCCTAAACCGATTCAATAACATTAAAATCTGTGATGTCCAGCACTACATTTTCCTGCATGTATTTTCATGCTATCAGTCATATTTCAGACAGTAAAGCATGACATAATGATGGAAAATAAATCCATCCCCTAATAGTCATCTTCCAGACACTACAGCATGATGTATTAATAGAAAATGTCATCCATCTCATATCAATTGTCTTTCAGACAGTAGAGCATAAAGTATTAAAGAAAAATGTGACCCATCCCATTTCAGTCATCTTCCAGACTGTACAGCGTGATGTAATGATGGATAAGGAACACACTCCCTTTCACTTATCTTCTAGACATTATAATATGATGAAATGATGGATAAGGAACACACTTCCTATCAGTCATCTTCCATAATGTATAGCAAAGTGTATTGGTACTTCGGTATACCGTGCTGCATCCATTCTTCCATCAATTCTCACCAGATCTTCCTCTCCAGTTACTAAGGTGCAGCCCCAATCCTGAGTGGACCCATCTCCATGTTCATAGCTGGTTTTAAACACATATTCTTGTATTCTCCTCTAGCTCTTCTCCTCAGATACTGCCTTCTTTTATACCTAGAGATTTCTAATATTGACTTATTTCCATTGCTCTTGGATCTATTCCTTATGTTTCTTACCATATTTTCATCTCTTTGACTTATTGCCTTTATGTAAAAAAAGGTTTCTTGATAGTCACTTGCGTTTTTAAACTATTACTCACTAGGGATCTTCATACAGTGGAATAATGGACCCCTGACGATGGATCTTCATACGGTGGAATAATGGACCCCTGGTGATGGATCTTCATACGGTGGAATAATGGACCCCTGATGATGGATCTTCATACGGTGGAATAATGGACCCCTGG